CCATTTACGACTTTAACAGTGTATAAATTGACATAAGCCAACGCAGCCCTCACCCATTTTAAACTTGATAAATCAATTAAACAGGCGTTATGCAAGAGCTAAATCTGCCTACCGCAGATATTTCTTTAGGCCCGAATGAAATGTTATATAAATTATAATTAACTTACCAAAACCATAATCAACTCTCGATACATGCACCATCGGATGGCTGCGATATAAGCAGATTTAAATACCTTTTGCGGTCGATGCGGTTACCATAAAAAAGGATAATCGAGACTTTGATTATTATCGTTACAATGGTAGTAATGACAATCGAGGCTAGACTATAATTGTATCGCCTATATCTGAAATTCTCTTTTCATTATCTATTTTGTAACTATTATATTGAGAACTGTGAGCTCTTTATCTAATCTAACATAATACCCATTAGGAAACTTATATTAACCAATGCATTCAAAAGATAGTGTCTTCTTGAAATGTGAAGTGACGAGCGTCGTGCACGAATCGGATGTGCTTATTATTGCTGTATATAACTGATGCTACTTCTTGTTCTCTCATGAATCCACATAGCTGACAATTAGATTTTGCTGTGTTAAAGATAAGGAAATAACGGTGGAGCTGCTGTTGACATTTTCCCTGAAATTAGTGGTTTGGCTACCAAAATTAAAGAAAGGGGGAGGGGGCGGGGTGGTCTAAAGTGTACGCTTTGAGTCAACTGGCGTGGTTTTGATTCCTCGTTTATAATTGACAAGGAGGGGGTCACCTGTCCAACCTCGTGGGTATTCTCTGGGTCCTCCGGTTTCCTCCTAATGCTAACCATATGTTAGCCCCAAAATGGCCTGGTTTTTGACGGGTGGACGTTAAAATCCATGTCTATTTCTCCCAAAAATTCAATTCTGGACAACCATTCAATGTTGATTCTGTCCAGAACACTTATTACCATTTCTACTTTGGGGCATCAATTTTATATCTAACTACTCTATACAATTAAACGAATTTGACAGAAGGGCTTCATATATCCATCACTTTGAAATGACTCCTGAAAGATCAAAGTTCTCTTTTAAATAGAGTTATTCTATATATGAGATATACTAGTAGTAGAATTTGAAGGAATGTTGATAGATTTAAAGATAGAGTGTATAACCAGGCAGGAAGGAACAGAAGGATGTAGATGTACTCTATACTAGTATATGTTATATTTCTATTTATAAACATGGCAATATCTTCATATCAACTCTTATCATTTATACACACGCCAGCATTACAACCTGTATGGATAGCTTACTCGGCCAAAAGTAATAACTAAGGATTAACTAGATATTACAAAGGAATCGTTGCTCATCTAAGTCGGGAAACAAATATACAAGTTCTTGTTCGTCATGTTCTATTTTAACATTTTGTGAAAATGATCTATGCCCAGCAACAAAATGCTGACGAGCGGACAAATACCATTCCGATATTTTTCTGTGATTCTGCCATTCCATACTGATACAGGTGATCAAATTTACATGATACCAGTGTAACCAGGTGGCGCTAGGGGCTGATTGATCCAGCAGCTGCAATATGTCTATTGCGCCTGTTTTAAAGTGGATTTATCTGTACCTGATATTAACTTGATCTCATTCCTACTTTTATATACAACTATGTTTATTTAATCCTTCTTCTAGTTGTATATAATAAAAGGTTAAGAACACCAATGGCAAATAAATATAAGACAAGTGGTAAACAAACCTAGTTAATAAGTACAAAGATATATGTAAAAAGATATAGAAGACACGTCTAATACATTTTGGTGCGATGATTTTTCACGAAAACTTAAAAAGAAGTATATATCTTTAATTTTAAATAGTGCAGCTATTCTAATAATCGAGCTAGAGGCAGAAGGAAGAACCGAAAGAAAACAATGGTAAAAAACAAATTATAGATACAAATGAAATGAAATGAAATGGGGTTTAACAGCCTGCTTTACCCGGGCTAACGAAGTAGGCTACAATGGAATTTTTGCCAATTGTCAAGGGTTCTTTTACGTGCACGAAGACGTGTACACTGGACTTAGTTTATTATGTCCCATCCGGCCGACTAGACCCTGTTCATTGCCAGGTTCACCGCCCTGCACCAGTGCACCAATGACAATGGGAAACCACACCGGGATCGAACCCTCGGCCGCCTTGGTAGCGAGTCAGTGTCTTACTCACTGAGCCACCGCGATGTTCCACGCTTCACCCTAAAAACATCCTGGTGTTGCCATTAATCAGACACCCTACCCTTGCTTTATTTCTTTCTGACAAATTAATTCAAACACATGTAGTGTTTTATTTGTAGCCTAATTAATTGTTTGTATTGTTTGCTGGAAATCCGCGCCATTAATCACGTTGTTTATAGTAAACAAGTCTTTATATCTATCTACATGCCATCATGATCGTATGTATAAATTACTATACTAAGATTATTCTAGACAGGCGGAAACATAAGCTTGTTGTTTACAACCACAATCTGTCAAGCGCAGGAACACAAAAATCTATAGTTTCTTGCGCCGAACGATGTCAAAGGACGGATATTGAAATGAACCCCGTTTTGTTTCCGTTCAAGATAACTTTATATGAAACTTGTACAAACATCAACATATTATAGTAGTTGTGCATTTTGCAGATAAGAAAAAAAATAATCAATTTTGAGTTTCCATGGAAACAAATTTCACATGAGTTTTGGTATATAAGGTCTTCTTAATCTTCTTATTAACGTTATGATTGCATCGAATGAAAATATATTTAAAAATAAATAGTCATAGACGTCTAACTTCTATATGCACTTTATATTTTAAATATTGTTATGACAAAAAAAGAGGTATGTAAAATACATCCTGAAAGTGTAGACTAAGTTTTAAAGAAGATTGAGTTTTGGCCACAAGTTACGTTAGGGTCGACAGCACAACTTCGTTGGTTTCCACCGGGTCCTTTGGTTACCTACCACTACTAAGAACAACTTATACGCGCCATCTAATTATTGGAATAAAATTGTACTATATGTTATTGTCCTACAATGGCCTAGTTTGTGTCGAGTGGACGTTAAACCCATTTCTCCTCTCTAAAAGGGGGATCACGTGGCTAAGTGGGTAAGACGCTGGCTCGCTAGCCTGGAGGTCGGGTGTTCGATTCCTGCATTGGCCGAGAAAGTTTATCCAGATTTTCCGGCGTGGTTTCCCCTTGTCAGTGATGCAGGACGCAGGGCTTGACAAGGACAGCTGTTTAGTCGTTCGGATGGGACGAAAAACCGAGGTTCCGTGTACATATTGGCGTGCACGTAAAAGATCCCTTGACAGTTGGAATTCGATATAAGAGTAGGCCATAGTGCGCTGTCCGGGCAAAATTTCCCTCATAGCACACTGTATGGCGTATGCCCGTCTTCATTAGCCCAGTTCGGAGCAGAACAGTAGGACGTTAAACCTCATTTCATTTCCTCTCTAAAAGTTAGAATGCTGTATTAACTGGTGATAGTTAATACAACCAATTTCTAGTCGCAAAAAGACATATTTTTATCGATTGAACGTTACCCCCACCCCTCTCTCTAACTCTCTCTCTCTCTCTCTCTCTAAAAGATAAGAGTGTCTACAGAATATTAGCTGATGATAAAACCAATATCAACTATATGTCGTCTTAATGAAGATTGAATGAATGAGTCACCACGTTGCCCGGTTTTATCAACAATGTGATTAATGTCATCAAATATTAATATAACAACTTAATTAACCTCGAATACACATTAATTAATATCTTTACGCGTGGTTGATAAATCTCTTACATTCCTGAGTCAATCAAACTGAACTCAGACACCTACAACTAATTAATCTCATGAAGAAATGTGATATTGTTGAAGCGTACACGTATATGAATAACATTGAACCGGAGTGAATGAATGAATAAATGGAATTAAATTAAATGGGGTTTAACTTCCCACTTTTATGCATCAACTGAGACAATGAATGAAAGAAATCTCATTAACTAAATAATTTTTGAATTGTGAGACTAACAAGATTATTTTTGACTGTGCCATGTGAAGAACTATTTCCCAGGTAGTGGAGTTCCAGCCACTTTTCCTCCAATTCGACCATCTGCCATTTGATGTTCAGCGCACTACCAGTTTGCAAACGAGGTCCTACATCCCCGAATAAATCAATGAATGGACTTTTGATTTTTCACATACGCCTTACAAATTTATAAAATGAATGAAATGAGGTTTAACGCTCTATACTGTCCTGAACCAAACGGACAAATGTAGACTGACAAATGTGCCCTGAATACGATTTGTGTTGATGTTTTTTATTCAATAAGATAATATAATATGTTATCAATCAATGAATTAGAATGAAGGATAAATTCCCACTTCATGGTCCAATATAAATTAATTTATTAATCTTGGTACAACTGTTGACAGAATCTATCCGCGCGAGAGAGCAAGAATGAAAGATATTTTTTTTTATTTATTAACGTCAAATGTAAAAATAATAAACATGATTATAATTGTACCATTTCATAGAGGCTATACCAAATGGCTTTTAGGATTCTGACTACAGAATCCAACTATTGATATATGAAGTATATTTCTGTTTGCATGAGTGAACTAGATTGAAGATTGAATTAGTTTATTAGGCTTCAATGTGATCTGTATATAATTTACTACATTTGTATATCATTTGGTTTTATAAGCTTGATAAATCTGTTATTGTGAATCATCACATCGGAAATACATGCTCATCAGATGTATATATATCATATATACCAAACATGTCTTTGGTAAACTAAGCTCGACCGTCTACCATTCATATCATTTTTATAATGGTAAAATATATTTTAGTATATGTTTGCTCGGGGCATAACCCAGGGGTCTGTACTAGGCCCATTCTTTTTCAATAATTACGTCCATGTATATGTTGAAGTATAGCATCTTTCCGAATGGACTTTCAAACTATGTCACTTCAATAATTCAGGTTTTATATATTTCAGAATGCCTAAACCCGAGTTAACAGATATAGAAGAGATAGTAAAGACATGGGCCTGGACAACGTTCCTACAGACTAGAACAAAAGAGAACAGTAAACTACGATTTGAGGATGTAATTTTGGAAGTGAAATGGAACAGAGTCAGATTTACAAATTCTTTACCTGAATATAAAGATGAACGAAAACTAGAAAAACCCAATTCACAGGTAATAACATCTCCTTGTTTGATGTACCTTTTTGGACCAGCAACTGGTCATCTTGAGGTCGACGTGCTTCGAAAAAAGCCTGAGGTCCGGCAACGATCGACATGAAACTTGGCATGCTTATTCCCTGAACAATTTCAAGATGGCCATAATGACGTCGAAGTCAGTTCCTGGTCCATAGTACAATGATACTTTTTTTTATTAATCAAACATTGATTGAAACAGACATTATAGTCAATGGTTAATGAAACAGACCTTAGTTAATGGTGTGATATATATAAATGAATGTCGTTTTGTGGGAATTTTGTCTAAACATTTGCGCTCCTGATCAAGCAGAAACATTTAGATGTTTAATAATTTATTAATGGAAGAAAACGATAAAACTAGTGTATAATTAAGATATTTACGGTATTGGTTTACCTCAAAATTACAGAAGTAGTGTGTTGACGAGACATTAAATATCATTCCATTCCAATCATTGCGATTCATATATAGTGAGAGCAGGAGGGCCGCACAACATAAAACTAATTACACAAGACAAACCGGTGGACAAGACACAATATTCAAAATATAAACAAGAAACGTATACATCAGATCAAGTGAATGGACCCGGGGATGAGCCGTACGCACCCATTGCACTGTACAGTCCCAACATAGTGATACAGGCTTCAATCAAATGAAAACATGTATTCAAATGATGAGTCATCAATTGATCTGGTTCCATAAGTACAGTATTATCAGACTAGGTCTAGCTCTACACGGATTTAAAATCATTAGGGCCTTTAACGGAGTTTCAGGTCTCTGTTTTTGATACAAGATCATTCCTAATGTTTACTTTTTGTATTTTCAGGTTGTGTTTAAATCAACTTATGAGAACTGGACAGATCATGATCAAGCACATTCCTTCCAGACTGAGAGAACGACGGTCTCTAGTTGTACTACAGAAGTATCCAAGGGTTTCACTAAAGGTTTTCATCTAGAGGTCAAATTGGGTCTTCCTGAAGAGGTTGCTGGGGCAACGGCAGGTTTCGGTCGCGAGGTTAATATGGAAACCGTAGACGAGAACACTCACGAGGAATCTATGACGTGGTCGATTAATAGCTCCATCAATGTGCCGCCAAAACACACGACAACTGCTGAACTTGTAGTACGTGAACAGGAATTTAACGCAAGTTTCAATATGAACGTCAATATTAAAGGACGTGTTTTAGTTGTTGTAACAAATCTTAAAGACAATAATTCATTCGTTCAATCTATTGAAGGTGATTTCAGTGATATATTAAAGAAACATGGCGGCGATAATAGCAACAAAACTTACGTCATCGAGAATAAATCTGTGAAATGGCCATTGGTCGGTACGTGTAAATTTAGATTTGGAATCGAACAACATGTCCAACTTCGTGAAAGTCCGTTATGCGAAGATTAAATTTGTGATATTTTATATTATTCTAATGAACTTCTTTTAGATACTTTTCCAAATGGTGGTACTTCTGATTGGCATAATGCACGTAGTTTCAAGATCGCTTTTACCCTTTTTCAATAAAATTCGAATTAGGTCTATTAAAAACCTATACATCACAAGACATTCCTTTTCGTGGATATTACTATACTATCTATAGACGAAAATGCTTATTTTGAACACGAGATGTTGTTATATATATATTGCTGTAGATTAAACTTGTGTTCACCATATGATGCTTTTTATGCAATATGAATAAATAATTTACATTTATGATCTGAAAGCATTTTTTAAAATAGATTTTTGAAACAACCTTATTTTTGACATCGCTTTTTTTTATCGTAATGTTTTTTTTTATTTAATAACACAAACTATTAAAGCTATAGTCATCTAATTCTCTGGCCATGAATTTTTGTCAAAGTTGGGAGAGACGGCAGGAGAGTTGGGAGATAAGGGGTTGGGACTAACTAAGCTAATGGAGACACACATACGTCATGCAGTGTGCTATGAGAGAAATATTGCACAGGGGAGCTTCCGCCCACTCTTGATCCAACTGTATCTGTCATGGGTTCCTTTAGGCCTAACTCAGTTTGTCGTCCTATACGAACGACTAGACTCTATTCCTCGACAGACCCTGTGTACCGCAGAGAAGGCAACACTACGCAAATATATTACTTAGATCCTTCTCGGCCAACATCGGGATCGAACTCCGGACCGCCTAGTTATAAGGGACTTAAACATTGTCTGAGCCAACATTAAACATTATGAAAGCTCAAATTCCTATGTGTGTCAGTGGTCTCTTCCCTAAAAGCCTGTTTTCTTTGTACGCGTTTTGCCGGTTACATGGAAACGGTCCCATTACATTTGCATAATAACGACTTTTTCGCAGCCGAAAACGCATACATGAAAGACGGGCATAAGGTTAACTCTTATCAGCATATTATAAACGCGAAGGGGTGTTTATCTCACGAATCGTCAAAAAGGCACAAATCTTAACAGCCGTAAATGCATTTTATCAGATGTAAGGGCATAAACTAATTAAATACAAATAATAAAATAGAATAAAACCCCCATGCCTTGGTATTATACAGAATAAAGGCCATGCACACCTCGCATGGGATTTTCCAAACTGTTTCATAGGGGTATTGCGAAAGCCTTCTTATAACTCCGTATAAGATGACTGACCTTTATAAGTTCAAGTATGCCTCTACATGTGACGCATTATCTTGCATCATAGATCATTGATTTGATGGCGCGTGCATTGTTTTCAAATTTTCTAATACCGATACTTCAAAAACGTGTTCTGGAATTTAATTTGCAGAAGGAATATTGAGAGCTAATTAACCCGCACCGATTTAATCCCTCTTAGTGATTGTCGCGGCCTAGCGAATATTCACTGCTGATTAGTGTGGATTTCCATAATCAGAGAATTGCCTCCCAAAATCAAAGGATACTGTAAAGGTTTACACAAGGGAGGATACTCTATTATGAACTTAAATTTAAGTCTGTAGTTTTTGAGGCGAAATTTCAGGCACTCCTCGATGGTTATTATATATATAGAATAAAGCTATGTACACCTCGCTTGGGATTTTCATGTTAGAATTACCTCCCAAACTCAAAGGATAGAGCAAAGAAGGGAGGTAACTCTATTGCGAAATTTTAAATTAATATTTTAAGTCCAGTAATTTTTTTACGATAAACTGCAGCAATCCTCAATATACTAAATTCGTACAGAGTCTATACATAATTTCCACATACACAATACCTTCACTCAGAATAAAGTAATTTGAATGAAATTTCAATATATTCATTTTGCTTTATCTAGCTATTTCTGGACTATTATAGCAAAACAGTCAGCTCTTTATCTAAATAATAATAATGATTAATATGAATATTTGTATAGCGCCGATTTCACACTTAAAGTATATTAAATGTAAAGCTTAAATAGGTATGTTTTAAGTCTGGATTTAAAACACTCAATAGAAGGAGCACTTTTGATGAACACTGGAAGATCGTTCCATTTTGATTTAGCGAGAAAACTAAAAGCTCTTGTCCCAAATGTGTTCCTTCTCAAACTTGGGGTTACTAACTGTATTTGACCACATGAGCGAAAACCCCGAGAAGGCCCGTAAGTTTGAATTAGCCCAGTTAAATAGGTCAGCGATACAATCTTGAAATCTATCCTTTCCTGTATTCGCAGGCAGTGTAAAGAGTTTAATATTGGTGATACATGAGATGTTTGAGGAGCACGAGATACTATCCGAGCGGCAGTGTTTTGTATCTTCTTGATGGACTCATTTGACACATCACCAAGAAGGCTATTGCAATAGTCTAAACGGGATAGGATTAAGGAGCGAACAAGTGCACGTGTTGCTTCGGGTGTTAGATAATCTCTAATCCGACTGATATTTTTCAGGTGGAAGTAACATTTCCTGGTAAGAGCATTGATATCACTGTTTATAATTAAGTTGGAATCTATGACGACACCTAAATTTCTGACTGACGGGGAGAGAGTAATTTCGGATTCTTCGACTACTATATTAAGTGTGTCCATACGAGTCTGTGGTCCAATGGCTATCGCTTCGGTTTCGTTACCGTTTAGTTTCGGGATATTTTATGTCATCCATGCTTTGATGTCTTGGAAACAATATTCCATATTGGAAATATCACGCTGCTGGGCTAACAGGTCTAACTTTTCTATTAATTGCGTGTCATCTGCATATAGGTGGTGGTTTACATCAGTGTGGGTGTTGATAATATTCCCTTACTCTAACGTGTACAATGTAAACAGAATTGGACCATGTACGCTTCCCTGGGGAACACCACATGGTAACAAAACCTCCCTTCAGAAAGAATCGCTAACTGAAATAAATTGTTTGCGACCTGTAAAGTATGAGATGAACCACTATAACACACAACCATCCAATCCAAAAAAAATGTCTAGGAGAATTTGGTGGGTGACCGATAGTGTCAAACGGGTGAGATAGACTCACGTTTTCTGGTTCTAGTAACCAATATCGCAGTAGAATTTTGAAGATTTTGCAACTTTTTCGAGTTTTGGAATAGACTGCCAAGCGAAATTAAAGCCGTTATGAACATTGAAGCTTTCAAAAAACCAATCAAACCCGTCTTTTCCGACGCCATTTCGGATGTTAAACTTTTTGTTGTCATGGTTTTTTTTTTGTGTGTTTTTTTTATTATTGTTTTTATTTTTACTCTTTTAGATATCTTATTACAGTTTTACTGAAATTTACTCTTATGTAGTTTTATTATCTGTAACAATCTTATTTTAATTTTTATATTTTGTAAAGCGCGTAGCTTATTGCAATTTTACTGAAGTTTTCCTCTATGTAGAGTTTTATTAATTGTTACAATATTATTTTAATTTTTATATTTTGTAAACCGCGTTTAAAATGTGCCATGCTTTTTACTGTGTAAATTGTTATATTGTAGAATGCGCTATATCGCTATATAAGAATGTATTATTATTATTATTATTATTATTATTATTATCAAGCATTAGTGTGGACTGCAAGGGAAGACGACTCTGTTTGGGAGGTTTTCTTAATACATAGGACGGGCACCTTGCGCGCGTGTCATCACGTGATTTCTTCAATGACAACTATTGGCGCTAAGGAAATCATAACCATTAGCCTAGGTAGAAGAGAACCAGTGAGATTGTGTTAAGTTTATATACTAAAATAAGACAGTTAATAACATTTTAGAGCATTCGGTGAGCATTATTTTGTTCTTTGCTTTCAAGCTTTAACCTGGGATTGTGTGGAACGATATTGTCTATTTTAGTAGCTAGGCAGTCTACGCGGAAGCAATGGCCTTGATCCAGATAGTGACGTAGCATTGGTGAACTATTTGCACTAGGCCTAAAACAAGATTATTATTTATCATAAGCGCGTGTTCTCTGTATTCCAATATCCCAGTTATTGTCGTTTTAAGGAGCCACGGTGGCTCAGACACTATGGCGCTGGCTTACTATTTCCTAACAAGGAAAACCTGGACTGCCGACTCGAGATAAACCAGTAGGCCTAGTTTGGCCTTAAGTGAACAAGAATTGCAGAACAAAGTAAAGTTACTACAGTCTCAGCTCCCAGAGACTCAACTGGGTTGCTCAGTATCTGCTCTGGCAAAGAAAACTTAGAATACTATTCTGATTATTGGTACGGATGGAACGTAAAACCGGGGGCCCCTCCTACACGTTGGCGTGCACGTAAAAAAACCCTCACAAAAACCAGTGCCCGGGATTGCGGGAAAAATTCTCACCGCACACTGTATAGGCCTACTGTATGCGTTTGCTTGTCTAACCCTGTTGCTTGGTGCAGCACGCCATTTCATTATCTCAATTACAGATTTTCTTATGTCCTGTTCTTTTGTAATTTGTATACCACTGGCATCTTCCGTTGGCGTTATGGGAGGTTTTGCTGGCGCATTGGCTATAATACTAGTAGGACTACAAAATTGTTGACACTATAGAATATTGACTATACCCCATTGCATTGGTACTATTGCTACCGGGGGGGGGGGGGGCGAGAGAGTCCAGAGAGAGAGAGAAAGAAATGAGGTTTAACGTCCACTCGACCCAAACTAGGTCATTTCGGGACTAGATATATGGTTTAATTTTATTTCAAAAATTCGCATGCGTGTAGAGGTCTTTAGCAGTATGAGGAAACCGGAGAACCCGGAGAAAACCCACGAGCGAGGTTGGACAGGCGACCCTACTCCTTGTCACGTACAACCGGGATTCGAAACCACGCCAGTTGACTCACTGACAGCGCAAACGTTCTAACCATTCGGCCATCCAACCCCACTTGCTACTGGGGATTAAACATCACATTTTGTTTCTTGTACTATGTATAGCCTATTATTATCGCATGTACTTTATTTGTGACATATTATTTATTACAGAATGGGTGTTCTATTTGTGTTACTGTCTATAGTTGTATTAAATGGATTTTTATTGGAATCTTCGTCTCCCAGCTTGACAGCGGTAGATGTTACCTTCAATCTGGTAGGCCAAATTTCTACTAAGCGCTTTCCTGATTCTGAAACATTCTCAAATCCGCATTATTATTATGATTAAATAATATACATATTTCTTTTACTGTACACTTTTAATACGCCCACATTTTCATGTGGACGTATATGGCGTCGCTCCTGTCCGTCCGTCAGTCCACAATTGCTTGTGAACAGTCTACAGGTCACAATTTTTATCCGATTTCAATGAAACTTGAAATATAGGTTTATCACCCTAAGATCTC